ATGTACTGTAAATATTGTTTTCCTTCACTAGCTTAAACGAGGCAGAGATGCTGATTAGCTGTTAGTGCTCTCTGTAGTGATGTGCTGAAATGTTGCAAAGGTTTAGTGCACATACACGGTTTTTGGTGAACAAGCTTTTTAAATCTTATTATGAGACAAATTTACTAAATTAAATTTTCTAATTGAGTGCCTCTCATGTGGATAGGACATGTAAAAAAAACTTACCAAGATTGCAGCAATGTGGTAAAATATGCTTCTAGAAGGATTTTGCTGTTAGTTAAATTGCTGGCCTGTTTCTGTTCCTTGGGGTGGCTGTACAGGTGCTTTAGAGCTAACTCTACCTTTCAAATTCCTTTTGATGGAAGCTAAACAATCATCAGTAACACTCTCCCTCTCATTGTTACCAAAACCCCACCGGAGTTGCTTTGTCTCCCTTGAGAGAGCTTGATTGATCTACACAAACAACAACCTCTCACTGATTGGGCCCTCATCCTCAGGCTGGACGCTGCATTTTTAATTGGGTTTTGTCATTCTCCATCCTAGTTCAGCTACATTTGTGGTTCTTGAATTTTAGCCTGCATGTAAAAAAAAATCTTGCAATCACCGAATGAGTATGGGGCACACATGCTCCCTCTCTATATAAGAAATTAAGACTTTTTTTCTACTCTTATGACTCTTGTTGACACTTTTTTACAGTATGATGAGAAACCAGACATGTCAGGGGCTTTAAGCATTTTTGGTAGAACGCAATGGATTCAAAAGTAAAGCTTATATAGATTTATGGGTTCTAAATATTTATTGTCCTTGAAATGGTTTAAAATCAAAGGATTAGTCAGTGGATGTTGCAATGATCTCAAAAGAGAATGATGATTCAGCTACTGCAGTAAATCACATATGACAAAGCTAAGCCTGCATGGGGCCAGTGATGGAAGCGGCGCTGTTTATAATGATCATGTTTGTTACTAAAGGCATGGATGTCTAATAAAAGAGCCTGAGTCACATCCAGTTCAGAAAAACACCCAGCACTATCATTTTGAACTATTGGCAGTTAGCTTATATAATCTGAAA